AGCAGGTGACGTCCCATGGCCTTGGTGGTCCCAGCTGGGAGGACAGAGGTGGGGGTGGTGTTGAGGTTGGTCTCTGACTTGGGGCACGTTGACTGTGGACATGTGAGGGCCACTGCACACACCCAGTGACCACGGTAGCAGCCATGGCAGAGGTACCCCATGGGCACTTTGTCAAACTGGGTTGGGGGTGACTCTGCACACAAGCAGGGTCGGGGGACCTTCCCTTCCGGCAGAGTGAGGACGGCTGCTGTGACAGCCCACTTGGTCAGGAGGCCTCAGTTGGGGTGGCCTCAGTGTCTGGCGGGGCAGGAGCAGGGAGGTGTGGTGACACCCAGGGTGTAGTGTGTGCCGGGCTCCGAGCCAGGGCCTGGCCCACGTGCGGAGAGCTGAGCCTTCCTGGCACCCAGCTCCCTTCCCCTTTGGGCAGAGGAGAGAGCGGGGACTTGGAGCCCCCCTCAGTGTAGCCCTGGCTCCCCTTCCCCCTGACAAGGTACCCCACCCCCGCTGTGCTCTCTCCTTCCTTCCCTCCCAGGTGAAATGCAGGCAAAGCCCTCCTCCCCAGGGGATGAGGACTGAATGAGAGCGTGCACAAGGCCCTGGCCACGATGCTGAGAGGGGACAGGCTCAGTGATGGTGGCACCGCCCCGTCCACTCCCCTCACCAAGGCTGTCCCAGTACCGTTGGCCAACCCGGTCAGCTTGGTTCAGTCCAGGGGCCCAGAGGGTCTTTTGGTGTCACAGTCAGTCAGGGGAGATGAGTAGCCAGGTCCCCGGGGCCGTGCAGCCACGAGGGGCACAGGGATGCCTCTGTCTACTGGACGTGGTCCTGGCATCTTGCCAACCGTCCAGGTGAGGTGTGCCAATGTCGGGTTCATGGTCAGGGAGGGATTGGCTGCATCTCCTGTACCTGTGTGTGTGTGTCTGCATGGGGGTCAGTCTTGCAGTGACACCTGGCACATGGCGGAAACCCACACACCCAGCTCTGTGCTCTGAGGGACCTGCTTGGAGCGGGGAGCAGAGAGGGAGGACGAGCCCCAGGACCAAGAGCCGCTCATGTTCATCTCATCCTCCCGCCAGTCCTGTGGGTGGTTAGTGTAAATAACCCCACTTTATAGGGGAGAGAGCCACCACACGTGGAAGCAGATGGCCCAGGATTCCACAGAAAGTGTGGTGGTGGGCTGGGACCCCAGGCAGCCGGGCCAAGGGCCCACACGTGTGCCCACCCGGCAGTACTCCCAGTTATTGTTGTTTCCTGTCTAGACAGCCCCCCAAGAGCGTCACAAACCCGGACTGTGTGATGGGGTACAGGGGCTGGTATTAGGCACTGTGGTTGGCTTAGGGCCAAAGGCACCTTGTGGGGATTACAACGGGCCAGAGGTTAAGGCAGCTGGCTCTCATGGCCGACTGCATGGTTCAAGACCCGGAGACTTGAAAATCACGTGGGGCACATGTACACGTTTGCCCAAATCCCAAGAGGAGGATGCAGGAGAAAGGATCGTAGCCTAGCCATCCCATAGGGGGTGCTTTCTTACTTTTCCTTCTCTTCATTTCTATTCCTATCCCTGGTGAGCATGCATGCTCTATAACAAAACTTAAAAAATAAATAAATAAAATTTTAAATGGCTGAATAAAAGTTTGAAGTCATCCCCGCAGAGGTCTGTAACACATCCAGGATTGCCCAGGTCCGGCTGGGCAGATGAGGCTCTCCTGTCCACCTGTGCGAGGCCTGGCCAGCTGGCCTGCAATGGAGCCCTTGGGCACCCCAGGCTCTGTCCCCATCAAACAGCCTTTAACGGGGCTCTCAGTAGCACAGCGAGACAAGGTCCAAATGTCCAGCTCAGACCTCCTCTCCTGCTGTCCTCCAGCAGCCGGGGCTGCTCATGGGGATGATGGCTCGCCTCACCAGAATCTCTCATTTCTCTAGAGTGGCAGGGAGCTGGGATATTCACAGGAACCTCCCAAAACCGCAGTCACTGGGCGCTACCCTAGGGAGGGCCTGTGGCTGACGTGGCCCCAGGCTGGCAGTGTCAGCCACCTTAGGGCCTGGGTGGCTAAGGGTCTCTGCAATGCTGCTGAATGGTTGTTATGGTTGCCCTGCCTCCCACCCCTCCCCGCTGTCCTGTCCAGCAGGGGTGCGATGGGTAAGCCTGAGCCCTGGGGCCTCATGCCACAACACTGGCCTGTGGCTGGTGTCCCTCCTGGCTGCGGCCTCACCTCTGCACCTTCCCAACCAGGGCTGCTACACGGTGATCCTCAATGCCTTCGAAACCTATGTGTACCTGGCTGGAGCCCTGGCCATCGGAGTACTGGCCATCGAGGTGAGTGGGGCCCCACTGGAACCTGGGGCAGATGCCGTGGCCTGCACCCCCAGCCCACTTCTCAGCTACATTGGCTTCACCCAGGACCAAAGGCGGTACTAGGGGTGGTGAGCCACCAGGTGCACTACCACTGACCATCACCGTGGGCGCCAGATTTGACAGGCCTGCGCCACCTGCTGGCAGTGGGGGTGGGCAGGCCCTGCTCCCTCCTCCCCAGCTCTAAGGTCTGGATGTACTCTTGAGGACCGGTCACACAGTTGCTTTGAGGGACAGGCTGCAGCCTAAGGATTCTGGATGTTTCTCTGGACGATGCTCAAGGCCTTCAGGGCCTTATTAACCTCACAGAGTGGTGTTGTTTTTGTTTTTTAAGAGGTTTTTGTCGGGGCCAGCAGTTGGCATAATGACTATGTTGCTGGACTCCCAAGTAGTCGACCGCAGTTGGTGTCCCGGACCCGGTGGCTTAAAACTCAGCCAGGCGCGTGTGTGTGCGTACCCAAGATCCCGAGAAGAGAATGGAGGAGAAGGGATTGTGGCGTGGCCATCCCCCCTGGGGGGGGGGTGATTTCTCGCTTTCTGTCTCTCTGGCTCTGTCTTTCTGGCGAGAAGTTTTTTAATAGGAAAAACCTCTCAAAAAAAAAAAAGAAGTTCTCTTCCTTAGAGCATGCACACTCCCCAGCGAGAGAGAGACAGAGACGGTGAGAGGGAAAGTGAGAAACCACCCCTGGGGGGATGGCCACGCTGCAGTCCCTTCTCCATTCTCCTCCCAGAATCGTGGACACACATGCACTCAGCGTGATTTTCAAGCACCAGGTCCAGGACTCGCGGTCAGCCATAGTGATGTAACCGCTATGCCACCTGCCGGCCCCTCAGAGGGGTCTTTGACCTCACGAGGTGGCGCTTCAGCCAAAAGGAGGAGCTGCATTTGTGTCCTGGCCCACACCCTGCCCGCCAGCAGTAGATTGATTAGTCTAGTGCTGCGTGAGCTCTGGGGCAGCCTCAGCCACCCCTGCCCATGTCCAGGAAGGGCACCCAGTGTCCAGCCAGTCCTCACCTGCAGTGGGATGAGCCCAGAGCACCTGGTGCCACAAACGTCCCACAGCCTGCTGAGACAGCAGCTCTGTGGAGGCCACGGGGGGTGGGAGGGAGGGAGGGGTCACTCCCCTGTCATCTCATCAGCAGACACACACTGGGCCCTGGGTGCCAGCAGGCATGGGTGTGGCACCGTTGAGCAGGGAGCAGAAAATCGCGGCGGTGTGTTTCAGCAGAGCAAGGGCCTCAGGGCCCCGCTCTGCCTCCCCAGACATGAGCTGCCTCGTCTGCTCATGGTGCTGATCACCCCGTCCTGGGGGGCCATGGGGCTTGAAGATGGCAGGCAGCAGAGCCAGTAGGTGGTGTGGTGTTGAAGGCACTGGACTCCTACATGGTCAACCGCATTCCAGTCCTGGTGGCTTGCTTTCTCACTTGCCCTCTCTCTGGTCAAATTTTAAAAGAATAATAAATAAAATAAATAATTCTTTAAAAAAAAAAAAAAAAAAAAAAAAAAAAAAAAAAAAAAAAAAAAAAAAAAAAAAAAAAAAAAAAAAAAAAAAAAAAAAAAAAAAAAAAAAAAAAGATGGCAGGCGCTAGCCCTGGTAAGTGCTGGGCTCCATAAGCAGGACTCATGCGCGCGATCCACTGCCTCATGCCCTGCCCAGCCCACAGGTCCGGCCAGCCCAGCGCAGGGCACGCTCCCACCAAGATGGTGACCTGTCCCCGGCCCTGCGCCAGCCCTGCCTCCCCACCCGGCCTGTCCTACCTGGAAGCACTCTGGCCGTGGGACATCAGAGACGAGTCGGGGCCTCTGCCCGCCTCGCCCCCAGGGCCCTCACAGGTGTCCAGTGGCCACGCTCGAGGGCACGCCTGCCTGGCCCACCAGTGACGACGGTGTGGTGACCGTTTCCGGAGCAGCTGTGAGATGACAGGCATCATGACCTTGTTAGAATTGTGAGCGGGAAGGGGTCACAAGCACGGGCTCGGGTCAAGCCCTGGCTGCCCTGCGTGGTGCTGCGTGACTGTAGGGGACCTCGCTGGTCCATGCAGCTCTCCACACACACTCGGGCTCCGAGCTGGGCCGCGCTGTGCCCAAGGTCACCGGCGTGAGTCGGGAGCTGGATTTAACCCCAAGACTCGGTTCCCAAAGGCCCCTTCAGAATGGTTCCACCGGAGGGGGCAGGCGGCTTGCCCTGAGGGCGATGTCGGATAACCCCCCAGAGGAGACAGATGGCCCCTTCCCCTGGGGCAGGGTTGGGGCAGCCTCTGGAGGGGCACCAGCCTAAAAAGTCAACTCTTGCCTCTTTTGCAGCTTTTCGCCATGATCTTCGCCATGTGCCTCTTCCGCGGCATCCAGTAGGGGGCGTGGCCTGGCGACGCCCCACCCACCACCCGGCGCCCTCGCCCGCCCGCCCCTCTCCCGTCCTGGTGGCCCCAGCAGGGAGCTGGGGCCAGAGTGGATGCCCAGGATAGGGCTGGGGAACAGAGCTATTTTTTTAACCTAACGAAGTGATGAAAATTAACGACTGAGGGGCCCTTGCCTGGACACCGCGGCAGGCGCCATGGTTCTCCCAGGGCCCCAGCGCCTGACGCAGCCTGTGGACTGCTCCAGAGACCAAAGGACAGCAGCCCCAGGTCTCCTCTGTGGCCAGCCAGACACTGGCCTCCCGGGCTCGGGCCCTCTCCCCACAGCTTCAGGACCTGGTGCCACAGTGCCACGAACGTGAGGGTTTAGGCGACGAGGAGACAGAAGCAGATCTCCCAGAGGTCGCCAAAGCCCAGAGGCCCCCAAAGACTCAGTTGCCATGTCCATAGGACTTGGGACAAACCGCCATCTCCAGTCCGGTGGATGATGGAATTGTAGCCGCTCCAGGCCGGGGCCAGGAGTTACTGCAGACACTGGATCTAAGAATGGCCCAGCTGGCAGGGTCCCGGCTTTCCCCATCTGTTGGACCAAATAACTTCAAAGGCCCAGAGAGGGCCAGTGACCTGTCCGCAGCCACCCAGCACATGCATGGCGGTTCCGAACACGGTCCTGGGTGCAGGTGCTCCAGGACGCCGTCACTCCAGCCGGGACTGTCAGCTGCTGCTCAGCCGGCCTCAGCAGGCTGGTCTCCCCTGAAGAGGGGCAGGCTGCCAGGAGCTGCCCCCCAACTCTGCAGCCAAGAAAAGTCTATACCGTGCCACCCTGACCGCCCTCCCGCACACCTCCTAGCTCCCACAAACCCACATGGACCCACACTGTCCGCCCCGTCCCGCAAGCCACCCTCTTCTCTGTTTCCCCAGCTTCATGGCTCCCAGGGTGGAAGAAACCCCGAGTTCATCTGGTTTCCCCCTTCCCATCCAGACCACAGGCTTGGGTGTCTGCTGAAAGGTCCCTGCTCAGACTTCACCGCCTTCTTGAATACCTCTGCGGACGGAGAGCCTGCTACCTCTGCTCCGCTTGGACTTGGCTTCAGCTCAATATACAGAAGGTTTCTGTCTCTGTGGTTCCGTCCATGGCACCCCACTCGCTCTCTCCTTCCTGGGTGTTACAATCACACGCGGACTTCCCGAGCCTTCTAACCTCCAGCTGAAGAACCCCAGAGCATCCCAGCCATGTCTGCGGACACGGCTCCCTGTCCTTTCATGGTCCACGTGATCCTTCCAGGCTAGGGCAGGGAGAGGTTCTCCCAGACCGGCATATTCACACCCACACCACACTCACACTACACAGGCCTCAAACTCCAGACCAGTTTTGGCAACTGGTTGCAAGATGCCCGGACCCCATTCAGTAAGAAGGACTGCCAGAGGTTGTACCAGGGATCCAAGGTCTGGTCTGTACTCTGGGAGAAAGCAGTGCGTTTCTGATTAGTGATGTCTTCCAGATACCTCAAGTTTGATTAGTGATGTCTGCTGAGACACAGGCATGACAGAGGCACAGTGCCTGCACGCCTCTGTCTCCACTGTCCCTGTCCAGGTTCAAGGAAGAGCCCGTTCTGTTGTCAGGCTCCCCTAGTCTTCCCAGCCACCTGGGAGACAGCTGCAGCCTAGAACCCGGTGCCCCCTGCCCACCCCCTTCTACCATAAGGCCAGAGCTCTGCACCTGCTGGAAGGATTTGATTTGGCCCCCTCCCTGCCGTGCCCACCGGTGCTGGCCCTTCCTCCTGCTCTCCAAGCTCAGTCTTCCCAGCTTCCCTGTGGAAGTGGTGCCATGAGCCACTCAGTGGCTCCCAGGATCTGGGGGTGCTGCAGCTGATACCCCTGCCTGGCTTGAGAAGGGCCTGAGGCCTGTTCCTCTCTGGACCCACCCACACATAGCCTGCCTCAGCTTCCTGGGAGGAACAAACGGCTGGTCTGAGGTTGACAAAAACACCCAAACCCAGCTGGGTGGGGTTGAGTCAAATTTAACAACTTTGTGGCTCTAGTCCAGGGGGATCCCAGCTTCTGGTCTGGGAGAAGGGGGAAGGTCTAGGAGGAATTGACGCTGAGGCGGGTTCCAGGGTGGATCTGAGACTCCCATTCCCGAGGGCTTTCTGTGAAGGTGCCAAGGAGCTCTACACCAGTCTGGCTCCACTCTGCTGTCACTGACCACCCTCAGGCTGGGACAGCTGGCAGCCACTGCTGTGCCACGGCCAGGGCTAGCAGCTGCATGCAAGGGGCGTGGAAGAGAAGCTTGAGCCTCCCTGCAGAGCACAGCCCTGTGGGCACCAGGGCTCAGCCGGCTGCACCCCCCAATCCCCAGTGGGTTCCCCAGTAAGTTTCTGGTAGCAGCTGTTTGGCTGCTTGTAGGGCGTGGAGGTAGGGACTTCTCTGACCCCATCAGGGCATGGAACAAGGAAGACACGCCCTGCCCCTATGGGCTGGGGCTCCGACCCCACTCCCCACCCCACCCCCCACCCCCCGGTGAATATCCAGCCTCCAGCCTCTCTGCTCAGGCCTCTCCACCTCCCGTCTGGCCATGCCAAAGGGGCCCAGACAGGGTTCTCCAAACTAGCCAAGGCCCCAGCACCCCATGCCCTCGGCCCATGGGTCCTGCGTGGAAGGTCTGGGAACTGTAACCGCCCCTTGCAGTAGGTAGCAGAGCTAACTTATTCTCTCCTGAGCCCTTCACATTCTATGTCGAGAGTTTTTGTAATATAAAACAGGACGCCCACACAATGGCTTTGCACTGGTTTTTGTGACTGTTTCTTACAAAAAGAAAAAGGAACAAAGAATAAATAGTGACCATGAAGAAAGGTGGTCTTGATTTGGGGGTGGGGGAGACAGGCTGAGGCAGAAGCGTGACAAGAGGGCGTGGGGTTCCAGTTGCAAGGGACTGGGGGAGAGGGCTCCAGGTCATCCGGACTTGGGAAGGAGAGCTGCCACTCCCGCTCCGAGGGGCCTTTCATCTCCTGCCTCCTGCCCAGACGTAAGTGCTCCTGGCCTTAATGCCCCCCACCCAGGCCATGTCTGTCTGCAGACCTCTTCTGACCTCCCACCCCACCCCACCCCCGCCTTGCTAGCGTGTTAACCTAGACAGTATTCGAGGAGCACTGCTCTTCGGAATCCTGGACAGCCATGTCCATCCAGCGTCCATCCCTGCCCCTGGTGGGGCACATGTACCCCATCCTCGTCCAGCCACATGCTGGAGATGGGCCATCTCAGCCTCACAGGTGCCCAGAGTACAGCCTGCCCCCCAGGCTTCTGGGGAACACGCCGCTGTGCTCAGCAGCGACTAGAGGACGAGGCCCCCATCGGCACCCGCTGGGGGAACAGCCAGGTCTCCAGGCCTGGCCTGGATGCAAACTGTGGCCATGGCTGGGCCCTGTGCATTGGAGACAGCGCCCTCGGCAGGCGGCAGGGGCTCCCGGCCTGCCCGGGCTGGGAAGCACGGAGGGGGAGGCTAGGGAGAGGCCCAGACGTCAGTGTGTTGAGCAGGTGCCCAGGCAGCGGGCCTACTCACCCTCATCCCA